TCTCCCATGTCCTTACCCCAACCCCCACACCCCAAGCCATGTTATCAAATGGGCTGCTATCATAACCAACCCATTGTCAGCCACAAATGGTCTCTATTAGCAGCTATTGATTCTCCCAGGCTGACCATTACCCACTCCTTTGTCTATCCAATTGTTTTTCTCTCTCTATTGGCTCTATTGGCTCCATACTCGTCCACCTCCTCCCACCTCATCTTTGGCATATATACAAACCTTTTCCAAGCTACAATCAGCTCTGAAGAAGGGTGACTGGACATGAAATGTTAACTCTGTTTCTCTGCACAGATGCTGCCAGACCTGCTGAGTGATTCCGAAAAATTCTGTTTTTGTTCCATCATTGAAACACTCCCTCCCTCCACTACATGTGCCCAATGGCAGCTTTAGGATGCACTGTAGCAACTCAGCCAGGCTCTGATTCTAACATGCTCTCAGCCTCAACTGGGTGTACACGGGATCACCAACACCTCACTATCCTTACACAGAGCCATATCGCCCTGAGGCCTTTCTCTTTATTGTGTCATTGAGTCAAAACCCCGGAAGTCCCTTAGCAGATGGACTACAGCGGTTCAAGAAGGCAGCTCACCTCCACCTTCTTAAATGGACAACTAGAAAACGGGCAATAAATGCTGGGCCCAGCCAGTGACGTTCATGTTCCATAAGGAAACCAGGCAAGCTCACAGAAAGCATTGTTTGGAGCAGCATTGAGAACATAAAGCAAAAGAAGGGAGTGCAAAGGTTGAAAATGATAGTGAGGAGTTTTTGGCCTTCAATTTGGTTTTGAAAAGTTTATTTGTGTATCAACAGAGCAATGCCATAAGACAATACAGCAGTAAATGAGCTCAGCCCTGATGTTTAGTCTCTGATAATTGAGTGTTAGATATTCCTTTGTGTGGTATGAACAGCCCATGCTGTACAATGTATTGTAATATTTGACCAGCTGGATTTACATGGCATTCACCCAGCTTTTTGACAATTGTCAACAGAATGGAACTTTGATTGAACTACTCCAGTAATTATTATTTGGTGAGTAACTTACCACCAATTGTGTGACCGTATCATTTCTTTGTGACTGTGTGTGTGTATGTGTCTGTGTGTGTGGGAGAGTGTGTGTGTGCATTGAGGGGGGAGTGTGTGTGTGTGGGAGAGAGTGTGTGTGTGGGAGAGTGTGTATGTGTGTGTGTGGGAGAGAGTGTGTGTGAGAGGGAGTGTGTGTGTGTGTGTGGGAGAGAGAGTGTGTGTGTGTGTGGGAGAGAATGTGTCTGTGTGGGAGAGAGTGTGTGTGCGTGTGTGTGCGTGTGTGTGTGTGTGCGTGTGTGTGAGAGAATGTGTGTGTGTGTGTGAGAGAGTGTGTGTGTTTGTGTGGGAAAGAGTGTGTGTGTGTGAGTGTGTGTGTGGGAGAGAGTGTATGTGTGTGTGTGTGTGTGTGTGTATGTGTGTGTGTGTGGGAGAGTGTGTGTTTGTGTGTGTGTGGGAGGGAGAGAGTGTGTGTGAGAGAGAATGTGCGTGTGTGTGAGAGAATGTGTGTGTGTGAAGGAGAGAGTGTGTGTGTATGGGAGAATGTGTGTGGGAGAGTGTGTGTGTGTCTGTGTATCTGTGTGTGTGTGTCTGTGTGTGTGTCTGTGTGTGTATCTGTGTGTGTGTGTGTCTCTGTGTGCGTGTGTGAGGGAATGTGTGTGTGTGTGCGTGTGTATGGGAGAGAGTGTGTGTGTCTGTGTGTAGGAGAGAGTGTGCGTGTGTGTGTGTGAGAGAGACTGTGTGTGTGTGTGTCTGCGTGCATGTGTGCACTGTCTATTTAAGTCTGGGCAGAGGCAGAACCACATCAGACTGGAGGAGACAGACTGCAATGAGGTGAGGAGTGTGTGTGTGGGAGAGTGTGTGTGTGCATTGAGGGGGAATGTGTGTGTGTGGGAGAGAGTGGGGTTTATAATATTCTAACAATTATTGAGAGAAAAGATGGGTTGAGGCACATCAGCTTTGATTGAATGGAATGGTACAGTAGGTTCAAGGGGCGGAATGACCTTCTAAGCAAAACAGCTCCATCCTGTGGTATAAGAGAAACTTTGATAGAAAGTTAATGAGTTAACAGGAAAATACAAGTGTCAGATAATAGGGGGTTTAGACAAATCTTTGCAGTGATGTTGCAGAATTTAGTGTTTAATGACAGCTATTGATATGTGATTGGATGAACGTATGGGAAAGTGTTAATGTCAAATGCTGCTAATGACAGAAACGTTCTCATTTTGATAAAGTGAATTGTTAAAGCACTCTATTGTACAGGGAGTGAAAATGGATCAGTCACATGAAAAGCTGTGAACAGAAGGATCAAGGCTCTTTTCTCGGGTGCAGACTGGTTCCATGTGACAGTGCTTGAACCTTATATATTTGGTTCATGGATATATATGTGGGGCGAGAGTTTAGTTTCCATTCCAAGCTAATTTAGAAACTTCTTCTGTTTTAATCCTGAGGATGGGAATGATGGTGCTGTCAGCTGTTCTCTGCATCTCTCTGATGTTCATGGTTGGATACGCATAAGGTAAGAATCCCAGGAAACCTGGCATGCCTGGCTTTTGAACTCCTGTGCTACCCTTCATCTGTGTCTTTTGATCCGAGAGAACACTTTTATTTTCAACTAGAATTTACATGTGATTAAAGAGAGTCCAAGTCCACACTTTTAGAGGGAGTTTTATTCATTTCAGCCTACTCCAGAAAACTCTGACCCTACTGATTACTAGCTCCCAATATTTACACAAACAATTTTAACCCAAATAAATACATTTGTCAAATGTTCCATTTCAGACATCCCTGCAGATCTTACTATGATACAGGTCTCCTTTTATTGTAAGTCGATATACTCACAGAATAATAACTATGATTCAAACAAAACAAAAATCAAAATGACAACATATTAAATTCCTATTTATTTTTTCTTTGTACATTGGGGGTCCAAGCATCCTTTTCTGGTATCGCCAGCAGCTATGACAGCTTGTTCATTTGTTTGTAAAACAATCAGATAGCTGACTGCTGCTATCCATTCAGTTCAATTTGGAGAAGTCGTCATTCTCCACCATTTCATTCCAAACTGCAATATCAATTTCAGTCTTTATTCATTCACACATCTCCTGGAGTGTACGCGATCCCTCAGTGACTTATCAATGTAACACTGACTGGACAACACTGCTGAAGCCTTTAAAATTTCCTCCAATTCTGTCAGCAAGAAAGACCCCAGACCTACCACCTCACCAACAGCACAGGTTTCTCCCACTAAAGTGCCTTTCACTTCTTGTCTGATCTTTTTGGTTTCCCGGACTTAAGGGCAACATTTACCTCCCTCTCCCACAAGGAGAATGATAACCTACCCCACCCCCACACTCAAGAAGCCATCGGAATGTAAATAAAAAAGAACATCAGATACTGAATATCTGAAACAAAAACAGAAATTACTGAAAGAACTCAGCAGGTTTGACAGCGCCTGTGGAGAGAAAATCAGAGTTAAAGTTTCGAATCCAGTGACTCTTCATCCTCCCTAACCAGTTCTGAAGAAGAGTTTGAGTTCTGAGGAACCACAACCCAAGCTACAGATCTTCACCAAAAGTTTGATTGTCTTGATCCGTTTTACTAAGAGTCTCGCTCGCCCTTCTGGCAGATTATTCCACAGACAGTAGATGTGCATCCCCATTGCAATGCTGCACAACAAATGCACTCTGACACCTACATAATCATCACTGGGGCTGCAGCTTCCTATGATCGATCCAGTGGCCTTCTTCATCTGCATTTCCATCTTCTTTCTCATAGTCCTCCATTTCATCTTTGGTTTGGAATATTTTATTCTAGTGTTTGGAACAGGTCATACTGTCCCGGTATTTTCAGTCACAGCTGAAACATCGATCGACTATACCCTAAGCATTTTTGATGTTCTTTTTCTGATATTAAGTCCCAAATTCTCTTCACTTCTCAAAATTATCAAGAACATTTCCACCATGTATTGTAGCTGTACATGTTCATCTACAAATTTAATTCCCATTAAAACTAGAATCTGTCTATACTTGATACTTTGGCACAATCCAGTAACTTCACTGCCAATACTGATTGGGCAATTTCTGAAAGAAATCCAGGAGAAGTCTAGCAAACAATCTATAGGTTCCATCATGAAGCGACCCACAGCACTGTTCTCAGTCTTTCCAAATTCATCAAATTCTCACCACACTGATGTTAGACCCCACTGATTACCAGCTCCCCATATTGATACAACCAATTAAATCCTTATTAATATACCTCTTCCCTCATTCCCTCTGGCCTCAGGTGTCCCTCCTTCTCGGAAGTGTTCAGTGTTTTGCTCAATGTTGAGAGGATACCAATTTGACCCAGAAGCCTCTGTGGAACGAGAGTGACATCATGTGACCTGCATTGGGTTTAAATTCAGGAAGAGAGAGATGGGTTATTGTTCTGGACAGGAAGTGGAATAGTCAATTTCAGATGTTACAGAAACATGAGTGAGGGTTTTAGCAGCAGCTGAGCTCATGCAAGGACAGAACTGGGAGACGTTACAGAGACGGAAATAGTTTGCGCTAATGATTGAGAGGATGTCTGGTTGGAATCCCATCTCAGAATCAAATACTAAGACCTTGGATGTTCTGCCGCAGCATCCATCATTATCATAGAATCCCTACAGTTTGGAAACAGGCCCTTTGGCCCAACAAGTCCACACTGACGCTCAAAACATCCCACCCAGACCCATCCCCTCAGCTACACATCCCAAACACTATGGGCAATTTAGCATGGCCAATCCACCTAACCTGCACATCTTTGGACTGTGGGAGGAAACCGGAGCACCCAGAGGAAACCCACACAGACACCGGGAGAATGTGCAAACTGCACACAGACAGTTGTCCGAGAGTGGAATCAAGCCCGAGCCCCCGGCGCTGAGAGGCAGAAGTGCTAACGACTGAGCCACCATGCTGCCCTATCCTGGGAGATGGGTCAGTGCTTTCACTGAGATGACCCCACTCTGTGCTGCTCATGTGCTAAATCACAGCAAGTCCGATTGATCCATTACCCCCTGTATTCCCTGACCTGCATCCGCTCCCAACTAAGCCATGCTTCAATTTCAAATTTCCCATCAGTTTGTAAATCCCTTCACTGTCCCATCTCCTGCTTATCTCTGTAATCCCTCTGGCCCTCCAGGTGTGTGCACCTCTCTCATTCTGGCCCCTTGAACACCCCCGATTGGGATCAGACAGTCATTGGGTGCTGCACCATCAAAGCCCCAAGCTCTGTAACATCTTCTGAAAACCTCTCCACCCTCCCGCCTCCTCCTTTTAAGGTAATCTCTTTCACCCACCTCCTGACCCACCGTTTCAACATGCTCTGAATACAGGTCCATTGTTTGATAATCCTTCCAGGAATCCGCCTTTTACATTTTAAATTGTCAGCTTTATGCAAACATATAAAAACATGATAAGACTTGCATGAACTGAAGTTCTTGTTTTTATTTCTGTTCCTAATGAATTGCAATGAAGGATCTAAGGGAGGGGCAGCAGCAAAAGAATTTCAGAGTAAAACTACATCGATCACACCAAGTTGGATTCGGTCAGTTAGGCAGTGAGTTAAAAATATAAACTAAGTGCCAGATTGCGTTCTGAGAGAGAATAGTAATGTACAAAAGTTACACTCCGATTGCATGGGACCATGTGGCGAGCAAACCTAGACTATTGTGTGGGGCACAGGAAATCAAATGAACCAAAGATATGGAAGTACATGAGTGAGTGCAGAGGGTAATCCCAGAAATGTGTGGGTTTACACATCCGGAGAGGGTTGGCATCTGGGTCTTTTCATTTGTAAAATACGAGGGGGTGACCTATTGTCGAGCAACAGGAGCCTCCTAATTCATTCTCTGCACTTGCTGCTGGTTTCACATTGACAGGAATGGGCGTTCCGAACACGCTGTTATTTCTTCCCTAAAATCCTGCCCATTAATTTTCATAGTCTCCCTACAGTGTGGATACAGGCCCTTCGGCCCAACAAATCCACACTGACCCTCAGAGCTACCCACCCAGACCCATTCACCTATAACCCACCTAATCTACACACCCCTGAACACTACAGGCAATTTAGCATGGCCAATCCACCTAACCTGCACATCTTTGGACTGTGGGAGGAAACCGGAGCACCCGGACGAAACCCACACAGACACTGGGAGAATGTGCAAACTCCACACAGAAACTTGTCCAAGGGTGGAATTGAACCCGGGCCCCTGACGCTGTGAGGCAGCAGTGCTAACTACTGAGCCACCGTGCCCACCCATAATTTTCTCCAAACATTGAGCTCAAAACCGAACCCTGCATCTACAGATTACCTGGCAGCTCTGGGCTGGTCTCCCTAATTCGCATTTCTTGCCCTTTGTCCTATTCATGTTGAAAAGGTGCAAGTGGGATTCTGGAAACCCACACAGACACCGGGAGAATGTCCAAACTCCACACAGACAGTTGTCCGAGAGTGGAATCGAGCCCGGGCCCCTGGCGCTGAGAGGCAGAAGTGCTAACCACTGAGCAAGATGGAGGGCAGGAGAAAACTGTGGCCATACAAGCCGTTCCTTTTATGAGGTACTTTCAGTGTTCGACCTGATTTCCTCAAATTCTTGGAGCACTAATTATTGCTTCAAAGCCTGTTGCATTGTTTTGGAAGTTTGGGAAAAAAAATAAGCTACTTTGAAAACAGGAGGAACTGAGACAGCAGGTACCACGTGGAAGATGAAAAAAGGGACAGTGACCCTGCACAGCTGTCTGACTCTGCACTTTAGTCTCAAGTCTCTCTGGAGATCAGAGTTGTGTCTAAGAAAAATAAACAAACAGTGCAATTCACAACTCACTGTGGAAGCCCGTCTGGAGAACTGCTCACAGGGTGTGTTTTTCAAAAGACTAACCTGACTGTGATTTTTTTGTAAATTTCAAATAGTTTTGTTTATATGTAATTGCAATCTGTCTCTTGATTAAATGTTCATAAATTATCATTGAATCCCTACAGTGTGGAAACAGGCCATTCGGCCCAACAATTCCACACCACCCTAGTCTAAAGAGCATCCCACCCTGACTCATTTCCCTATCCCTGCATTTCTCAATGTCTAACCCACCTAAGCTAAACATCGCTGGACACTATGGGAAATTTAGCATGGCCAATCCACTCAGCCTGCACATCTTTGGACTGTGGGAGGAAACCAGAGCACCCGGAGGAAACCCACACAGACACGGGGAGAATGTGCAAACTCCAAAACATAGGTAGCAACCTGTGCTGGAGCAGTGTTTTTAGAGCAGTAACACGGTGCTATTTTCTCAATGTGTAGATTGTCAAGGTACAGAGATGGCCCTTAGTAGAGTGATGTTCTCTTCCTGTTGGAGGTGGGAGATTAGGGAGAGTTTTCATGTTACTGATGATTATGTCTGCAGGAAGTGTGTTTGGTTGCAAATCCTATCGGATTGCAGGTAGTGGTTAGAGCGGCATTTAGAGGCAATGAGGAACTTACAGGAGGTAGGAGCTGTGATGGATGGCAGTTGTAGGGAGGGAGACAAACCGAAGATACAGTTAGGTAGATGGGTGACCTCCAGGAAAGGTAGGAGAGGAAGGCAGGAAGTGCTGAGACTCCTGTGGCTATCACCATCTCAAACAAGTATGCTGTTTTGTAAAATGTACAAGTGATGGACTCTCGGGGGAGTGTAGCACTGACAGCAAGGTTTCTGGTACCGAGACTGGGTCTCATATAACGAGGGCTACACCAGATTCCAAGTGATTGATTGTGACAGGGGTCTCTCTAGATAGAGGCACAGGCAGACAATTCTACAGCCAACAGTGTTACATCAGAATGGTGAGTCGCACCCCTGCAGATGACACCAAAATTAGTGGCTTAAGGGTTAGTGAAGAAGGTTACCTCAGAGTACAATGGCTCCGTGATCAGATCGGTCAATGGGCCAAGGAGTGGCAAATTGTGTTTAATTTAGATAAATGTGAGGTGCTGCATTTTGCAAAGGGAGATCAGAGCAGGATTTAGTTCTGAGGAAGGGTCACTGGACCCGAAACATTAACGTGATTTTTTCATCATAGATGCTGCCAGATCTGCTGAACTTTTCCAGCAACTTCTGTTTTTGTTTGGGTCAGGAAATTATACACTTAATGCTGAGGTCCTGGGGTGTGTTGTTGAACATAGAGACCTTGAAGTGCAGGTTCCTAGTTCCTTGAAAGTGGAATTGCAGGTAGATAGGAGAGTGAAGCAGGCATTTGGTATGCTTCACTCAGAGTTAGGAAGAACTGCCGATGCTGGAGTCAGAGATGGCAGTGTGGAGCTGGTGAAACACAGCAGGAAATGAAAAAGGGTCCCGACCCGAAAAGTCAGGTTTCTTGCTCCTCTGATGCTGCCTGGCCTGCTGTGTTCCTCCAGCTCCACACTGTGTTATTTTGTAAGCTTGCCTTTATGGTCAGAGCATTGAGTGTAGGAGTTGGGAGGTAATGTTGCAGCTGTACAGGACATTGGTTAGACCACAAATGGAATACTGCGTACAATTCTACTCTCCCTGCCACAGGAAAGATTTTGTGAAACTTGAAAGGATTCAGAAAAATGTTGCCAGGGTTGGAGGGTTTGAGCTATAAGGAGATGCTGAATAGGCTGGGGCTATTTCCCTGGAGCATTGGAGGCTGAAGAGTGACCTTATAGAAGTTTATCAAATCATCAGAGGCATGGATAGGGTAAACAGTCAAGGTCTTTTCCTGAGGGTAGGGGAGTCCAAAACTAAAGGGTATAGGTTTAAAGTGAGAGGGGAAAGGTTGAAAAGATACCCGAGGGGAAACTTTTTCATGCAGAGGGTGGTGTGTGTATGGAATGAGCTGCCAGGGGAAGTGGTGGATGCTGGTACAATTACAACATTTGGATGGATATATGAATAGGAAGGGTTTAGAGGGATATGGGTGAAATTTTGGCAAATGGGCCTCGATTTATTGAGGATATGTTGTTGGCATGTACGAAGGGTCTGTTACCGTACTGTGCAACTCTAAGTCTCTGTGACTCGAAATGTTGCTGGTGGTTTTGCAGAGAATCTATCTGAGAGATGTCGACCGTCACAGTCCAGTGTCTATGATTACCATGGCCATGCAGTGAATGCTGTCAATGGGAACCCTAACCCCAATTATTGGAAATCGTCCTGCACGGCTGCACAGAATGATATGGAGCCCTGGTGGAGGGCAGATTTACACAAGATACACTCAGTCAGAGTCACCAACAGAGGGGACTGTTGTGCACAACGTCTCAATGGGGAAGAGATTCGGATTGGAGACTCTCTGGACAATAATGGCCACAGAAACCCCAAGTAGGTGGAGGAGAGGGAAATCTCGGGCCGGGGGTGTGGGAATGGGGGTGCTCAGTAATTGTGTGGAAATGGGACAAGGGGTCGGATGTGTGAGGAATGTAGGTTTTACATTGTGCGACTATTGTGGTGTCCAGGCCAACATTGAATTCCCAAGCAGAATCCCGAAAAGAGAGTAAATGTTCGTCGTCTCATTGCAAATTAATGGGATCGTCCTGTGTACAGTTTGACTGGTCCATTTGCCATTTTGCAGCAGTAACTGCATTTTAACTTTATTGGCTGTGAAGCCATTTGGGTTATAGTTGAGAGTTCGGTGTCACATTGTGGTAATGATGTTGTGGAAATGTCAGTGGAATAGAAATCCAGACAGCTACGCCAATGTTCTGGGGACACGGATTCGAATCCCACCCTGGACAGTGGTAACATCTGAATAACATAATAATCTGCTGGTATAACGTCAGCCATGAACTCCTGTTACAAAAACCCACTAATGTCCCTTAGGGAGGGAACCTGTTATCCTCATCCGGGTCTGGCCTACATGTGACTCCAGACTCACAGCAATGTGGGTGCTTCCAAACTGCCTTCTGAAATGGCCTGCAGAGCAAGTCCAAGGCAACAAATTCTCACCTTGCCTGGGACACCCAAATCCCACACAAGAGCTTAGAAACACAAACAGAAATTGCCGGAGAGACTCAACGGGTCTGGCACCGTCTGTGGAGTGAGTTACTGTTTCAGTTCCAATGTGATTCTCCTTCAGAATTTATAAACAACATTTGGTCATCACTTCTGTGAGGAGTTTGGGAGCTGCGACAATGGTAAAAGTACCATAAAAATGCTGAGTGTTGCTTGATGGAGACATTACTAAGAGCTGCACCCAGACACGTGGGGCCTGAACATTGATACTCCTTTCTACAGGGCTTGTCTATTCAGGTTTTCACAATCATCTCTTTCCCCAGATGTGCAACCATCAAATCCATTGCAGCTGGTGGCTCTGAAACTTTCCACTGCGGTGATATGCCTGGCCGTTACGTCAATATCTTCATCCCAGGAAGAAGAGAGTATCTGACTCTCTGCGAGGTGGAGATTTTCGGGAGCTCGGAATGTTAGTTTGACTTTTAGAGGAGGAGGTCGCCATTCAGTAAGTGCAATTGTCTCTCCCTCAGTTAGACCACTGGGAACCCTGCACTACACTTCTCCCCAGGGATCCTGAGGTTTATTCCAGACCACATTCCCAGATCTATTCACCATTCCCCACTCCTATCAGAGCTGAGGTGAGGGGTCAGGGGCCTACTGTGGAACCTCTCGGGGACCCTCCAGCAAGCAGCAAGTGAGTGTTGCCAAGGTGGTGAGCCCAATTTCCCTGGAGTCACTGAAAATTCAGGGAGACACTAGTGGACATTTCTCTGTGATCCCCCACAGAGCTCCTGCTGCCCCAATGGTTATCGAAGGCGCCAAGGCATTTGTTATTCCCACACCATCAGTAACAACAGAGTCAGCCCAAGGTAGGCCAGTTGTTGTTGTAGTCCTGTTGAGAGCTGAGGGCCCAGTCCCTATTCCCCTCACAGCCTGTACTCATTCTCATGTTGGGGCTCCTCATCAAGAAACAACATTCTATTCAAAAGCCATCATTGTTAGCAAATCCCCACTCATCCTCATGCTTCCCGATCACTGTAATCTCCACAATCCCCACAACCCTTTTCGATACGCGGCCACGTTGCCCAATGGGGATTTTAACACTCGCTCACTGCTGGCCATGCCTTCAGGAGCCTGTGCTCCAAGTTCTGGAATTCCCTTCCAACACCTATCCATTTGGAGTTGAATGTTTGCACCCTCAAGCCTATCCTTCCCAGGCCCCAATTCCTGGATATTTCGAAGTATGGGCCCCTCCTTTTAAAACTCACTATTTTGGTGATCCAGCCTCCACAACTGTCTGGGCTAGAGAATTCCCAACATTCATGACTCTCTGGGAAAAGAAATTCCTTCGCATCTCCATTTGAAGTGAGTGTCCCTCAGGAGTGGTCAATGTCAAGAGAAGGGGATTGTTGGGATTGTGGAATCCATTCTCAGTTATTCCTGACTAGTCATCTTGTAACATTTCCCTGAGCAAAGGAGTCAATATACTCCAAACGCAACCCCTGACAGCTGTGTCTGATCTCAGAACCCTCTCCCAAAGCACAGATAGTGATGGGATGGTCAGGAGGAAATAGCAGAAAACTTTTCTTCAGTGTTCATTGGGGAGAACTCAGTGTTTCATTCTGTTCCATTTCTGAGGGTTATAGGCCGCAGAGACGAAACCATCAGAATGATGCACTGGGGCCTCTGAGCTCAGCTCTGGACTTCCAGAAACGAGGAACTACACGAGTCAGCCTCCACAAGATTTACACCAGCTCTGACTTTGTGTATCTGCATGAAATAAGCTCCGATGATGCTGCTTGGCCTGCTGTGTTCATCCAGCCCTGCACCTTGTTGTCTCAATTCAACACTGGCTGTTTGTCCTTCAACAAATATGATCCTGTGCAGAATATCACACTGGAATGATCATGGAAAGGGAAAGCAGCAGAACTGATTTTGAACAAACTATCCATTCTCTTCCACTTGTCCCAAGAGTGGGTGTTTGGGACACAGACTGCCCGCTTCCTGAACTCAGCTTCCAGTTATTGATGACATTTCTGTCAAACACTGGAGCTTCCGTCATGAGCGAATGGCCAGCCTCATGGAGCGCACCGTACAACAACAACTGGAGGCAATGTAAATGCAGCTCAGTGTTCTTTGCACAGCACATGAGCTGTGGATAGTGAGGAGGATTTCCAGAGGACACACTGGGATGTAGATAGGCCGGAGCATTGGGCGAAGATATGGCAGCTGGATTTTAATCCAGACAAATGCGAGGTGATGCATTTTAGAAGAACTACTGCAGGAAGGAAGTATATAGTAAATGGCGAAACCCTCAGAATCATTCACATACAGAGGGATTTGGACCTTCAGGTCCACAGTTCCCAGAAAACGGCTACTCAAGTGAATACGGTGGTCAAGAAGGCATACAACAGGCTTAATTCCAATGGTCACTCCATCGACCAGAAGGATATGGAGGCTTTGGAGATGGTACAGGAACGGATAATGCCGGATTTAGAGGGTGTTAGCTCTAAGGACAGATCAGACAAACTGGGTTTTGTTTTCACTTGAATGTCAAAGGATGAGGGGTGTGACCTGTACAAAGTTTACAAAATAATGAGAGGCATGGATACAATGGATTGTTGGAGTCTTTTCCCCAGGTAGAATGGTCAATTACTAAGGGATTTCAGTTTAAGGTCAAAGGGGGAAAGATTAATGGAGGTGTGAGAGGTCATTCTTTTTCCCACAGAGGGTGGTTAGTGCCTGGAATATGCTGCTGGAGGAGATAGTGGAGACAGCTACAATAACAAGTTTAAGAGGGCTCTTGAGAGATGTACGAATAGGCAGAGAATACAGGGACACGGACCACATGGAAGCAAAAGGGTTTTAGTTTAGAACTTGCATGCTAGCTTTTTGTGATTCGTGGATGAGGACTCCCTAATACCTCTGTTCTGTAGCTTTCTGCAGTCTGTCTCCATTTAAATAATTTTCAGCTCCTCTGTTCTTGCTGCCAAAATGCATAACCACACATTGTCCCACATTATATTCCATCTGCCAAGGGTTTGATCGACTTGTCTGACCTGCCTATATCCCTCTGCAGACTCTTTCTTTGTCATTTGCAAACTTGGCTACAGTACACTCACTTTTCTCATCCGAGTCAATAAGATAGTGTTCCGATAATTGTGTCCCAGCACTGACACCTTGAGGCACTCCGCTAGTTACAAGTTGCTAACCTTAAAACGCTATATGGATCCCAACTCTGTTTTCTATGATTTCCTCATGCAAATATAGTTGCCCTTAACACCATGAGGTCTTCTCTTATTCATTAGCCTTCTTTGTGGTACCTTTTGAAAATTCAAATATCTTTCATCAGTTGCTTCCCCTTTATCTATCCTACTTGTTACCACCTCAAAGAATTTGAGTAAATTTACTGGGCATGATTTCCTCTTCATGAAACCATGCTGACTCTACCTGAACATATTATGTGTTTCTAAATGCTGTCATTACATCCTTTATAATAGACACGATCATTCTGCCAAACTAACTGGCCGAGAGTTAGCTTTTTTTCCTCTCCTTTCCTTTTTAAATAAATGTGTTACTGTTGTGGCTCCTATGATGCTGCTTAGCCTGCTGTGTTCATCCAGCTCTGCACCGTGTTACTGTTGTGTGTTAGTGTAAGTATCCTGGACTGTCACGTTAAGAGTCATAGAGTCAGACAGCATAGAAACAGACCCTTCGGCCCACAATGTCTAGGCCGACCGACAACTACCAAACTACACTTGTCCCATTAACCTACACTTGGTCCACAGCCTATGGTGCCCTGGCATGCTTAGTGCTCGTCCAGATACTGTTTAAATGTTGTGAGAGTACGGGCTTCCAGCATGCCTCAGGCAACACGTTTCTTATTTCTATCACCCTCTGGATGGAAAAAAATTCTCAGATCCCTTGTAAACCACATACTCCTCACCTTTAACCTATGCCCTCTGGTCTTAGACATGTCTGTCATGGGGAAGAGATTCTCATGATCTGCCCTATCCATGTCCCTCATGATTGTGTCCATCTCAATCAGATGCCACCCCTCAGCCTCCTCTGCTGCAGGGAAGACAAACTCAGCCTATTCAGTCTGTCATCAGAACCCCACATGAAGCATTCAATGAAGATGGAAAACTGGTTAAGTTTTGTGGTTGTATAATAATTTTGTGCTGATTAAGGAAATGGGATCAGCGGATCCTATTTGAAGTCTGACTGGCTGTATTGGGTCATGTAAAAGAGGGAAATTGATGATGATATGAACTTTGGACGAGTTGCTCCCTCAGAGTGAACAGCTCCAGAGTAAAGCTCCTGCTCTTTAATAGCCATCCATTGGTTTATTTCTCAGGACAACGCCCTGATAGGAAGGGTTTACAGGGATGCGGGCCAAGTGCTAGCAAATGAGACAAGATTAGATTCGGGTATCTGGTCGGTGCAGAGGAGTTGTCAGTTTACATGTGGTATGTCTTTATGAGTAATCAGAGAAAACCCGACTGCTTCAAAATTTAAACATACTCTGACAGTTAACTGTCAATCATCATAAATTGTGCACTCGCTGCAGCAACACCACTTCCAAACAAACTAACTGCTGATCAGCACTTTCCTTTCATGCAGAATAAAACTGGGTTTTCCCGTGAATTGACTTTCTTGCCAATTCTCCTGATGAGTAAAAGACAAAAAAACTTCACCGAATTGTGTTTAATTTCATCAGGTTTGGCATTTCAACAACAGCCGCACAAACAAGAGGATTGTTGAATTCCCTCACTACCGAGTGCTGTCCCCGTGCTGTCCCTGTCCTGGGAGTGTTCGATGGGGGACAGTGTTGAGGGAGCTTTACTCTGTATCTAACCTTGTGCTGTCCCTGTCCTGGGAGTGTTCGATGGGGGACAGTGTTGAGGGAGCTTTACTCTGCATCTAACCTTGTGCTGTCCCTGTCCTGGGAGTGTTCGATGGGGGACACTGTTGAGGGAGCTTTACTCTGTATCTAACCTTGTGCTGTCCTTGTCCTGGGAGTGTTTGATGGGGGACAGTGTTGAGGGAGCTTTACTCTGTATCTAACCTTGTGCTGACCCTGTCCTGGGAGTGTTTGATGGGGGACAGTGTTGAGGGAGCTTTA